GGAGATGCTGACGATCGCAAAATGAGCATAACTCACTGTACCGGGAACCAATGGGATCCAGGCACGGCCCCCAAAGGCGGGTATGCAGAGTCGACATCTAGAAAGACTAGGGTGGTCTAAGAATCACCCAAGATTTCTACCGACTGTTTGTTACCCCTCAGGAGTGTTAACTAGCACGCGAGGCCCGTTGGGTCCGACGCGTGAGAGATTGCAAAGCCCCTGTGGGTCTGTTGCGAGAGCAAACGTGAGGCCCCTTGGGTCCACCGCGAGAGAGATGGCAAAGCCCCTGTGGGCCTTTTGCGAGAGAGAACGCGTGACCCGTTGGGTCCGCCGCGAGAGAGATGGCAAAGCCCCTGTGGGTCTGCTGTGAGATCTTAAGGTAATTAAATTTTATGGTCGGACTCAAGCCTTCCCTTAAATGAATGAGTTTATTGAATAACTCATAAAACAGGTCCCAATCTTTGGAATCTCCAAAAAATGTGAGTACCTGAATTTTTGGTAGCGTTGGTAATTCATCAATTTTATGATTTATACCATCTATTGGCACAACTTCTGCAAGCTTCTTTTATATGTCATTTGTGACGGTTAAAATATCAAATTCTAGATCATCTAGACAATCATCATACCTCCTATCAGTGACATCAGTCATTTTGACTTCTTTTAGACTAATTAGTTTTTTCCAATAAAAATAAATTTTCTGAACTCAATATCAAAGGATTTCCATTTATCATCTTTGATATCTTATATGGTTTCTTTTAAATAAATATTCAGTTGCTTCAGTTGAATATTTTGTCGTAGATTTCTTGATTTTCAAAGTATTTATATTTTAATTTTGGGTAGGCTCAAGTGGCCTGCAGTCACTGATTTACTTGGTGAAGGGAAAAGCGGGGCCGGTCGTCTCCGTGATCCGCTAGCTAAGAAAGGGAAAAGAAGAATAGGAACGATGGAGCGTGTGCCGGCTCTGGGCGAGAGCGATCGTGAGGCCCCTTGGGTCCGCGGCAAAAGAGATTGCAAAGCCCCTACGGGTCTCTTGCGAGAGAGAACGTGTGACCCGTTGGGTCCGCCGCGAGAGAGATGGCAAAGCCCCTGTGGGTCTGCTGCGAGAGAGAACTCGTGGCCCGTTAGGTTCTCCGCGAGAGAGATGGCGAAGCCCTTGTGGGTCTGTTGCGAGAGTGCCTGCTGGGATCCAGTGGATCTGCTACTAGCGAGCATCGGCGAACGACCGATGGCAGTGCTTCCTCGGTATGACCGAGTAGGATGTATTAGATTCAGCGCTAGGCTAAATCCGACCAAATTGACTATTGCTGGTGAGGGTGCCCAACTGCGAGAGAGAGCTGATCTTACCTGATCGAGATCGACCGCAAAAGTGACTTTTTCCAAGAAACCGGTCCTCCTTAGTGCTGTGGAGGGGGGGGTGTGACCGTTTCCGGAAATACCTTTGTGCGGTGGGCTCGCTTGTCTCCCGGCAGTGCGACCGTCTGTTGTAACCAAGGCGCGGCTGCGGATTTAAATTCAAAACTATGTTTTTCTTCTATAACATAAACTAGCCACTTCAGGTATCTCCTTATAACTAAAAAACAACCTATAACTATGGACTTTATAAATTTTCTTAACGCTATTCCTGACCTCTAATATTACTACTTGTTTCCTAATTACTTATTTATTTGCGCCCCCTGGGCGTCATACCGCCGCCTCTCTTTCTGAAGCCGGCGTGCGAGGGATGATCCGACATCAACAGGCTCTGCTGCTTGTCGAACTTCTTCCTCTTCCATCTTTCCTGGATATGCTCCACGGTGTCCGTTCCGCGTGTAGAGCCTCCAGTGGTGGTAGCTGGGCTCGCTTCCTCCCGCCGCTTTCGGACTGCTCGGCGCACAGTGACCCTCCTGCCGCTGCCAAAGTGCACATTCCACGTGGTGTCCCCTTCCGGCACCAACAGGCTCTGCTGCTTGCCGAACTTTTTCCTCTTCCATTTTTCCTGGATATGCTCCACGGTGACGGGAGGAGGACTACCCTTGTCGGCACTGTCCACCCCAAGTCGTTTGTTGTCGTTGCCTCGACCTGGGATGGACCCGTGGTTTCCCGCCGCTTGACCGTCTTGAAGGGGTGGGTGTCTTTCCCTGCTCGGGACTCTTCACTGGGTTGGTGCTCTCAGCAACCGCGGGTCTGCTGAACGTATCGCGCCTGGTTCCCACGCGTGTTGGGGCTGTCCGGATCCTTTTCTGTAGCCCGGCGACCTTCGCCGATATTCTCTTGGCTATTTTGGCTGCCTGCTGCAGCTGGGCGCTATGCTCCCTGAATCTCCTCTATGACCTATGATGAGAACGGGAGGTGGATTATTAAGGTTATTGGGGTTGGCTTCGGTGGAGTTAGTGGTATTATTATTGTTTTTTCCGCGATTACCGGCGAGATGAATCTCCGCACCTCCCATGCCCCGACGTATTTCGGCGCCAGCTTCGCGTTAAACTTGTCTGCTGCGTTCGAAAGGAAATATGTTCTGCACCACACCAATTGCCCTATTCTGGACTTCCATGCCCTTTTCCGCAAATCGTAGTGCCGTTTCCTGATTTCCGCCGCGTTCTCCATCTTCCTGTGTGCTTCCGATCTGGCCTCATTCAGCCTTTCCCGTCTGCTGGGGACTGACTTTATTATAAGGCCGGAGCCTTCGGTGATCCTTTCGAACAGCGATCCGGGCAGACGCAACTCCTTTTCATAGAGCAATTGCGCCGGGCTATACCCAGTTGACTCCGAGATGCTGCTGTTATGCTAGAATCAACTCCGGAAGGTTCTCGTCCCATTCGGTTTGTTCTTCCCCTGGCAACTCTGCTATCATGGTTTTTACCGTGCGGTTAATGTGCTCCGTTGGGTTCTGCTGTGGTATGTGCCCCGTGAACTGCTGTCGTATTCCCCAGAGCTCCATGGCCGTCTTAATCTTTGTAAAGTTTCATTGTAAGAAGGGTTCCCAGTTAATTATAATTGAGGTGTGTATGTGAGGGCACTTATGATCGGATCGGTAGTGGACAGAGCTTCGACACCGAACGCTTCGACCGGCCTTGCTTGGTTTTAAGACAACCCGCACCAAAGTATCAAGCTGGAGTCCTTCAGCCTCGCGGCCTCTGCTGTAGATGTGCATGCTTCTATTCATTGGTGAGCCGTCGGTCCGCAATAACCCTCTTCAGGTGATGTTTCACCGACTTCACGTTAGCCTCCCACAGCCCGCCGGAATTGAGCGACTGAGGAGGTTGTCCATTGTGAGGCGAGCTTGGGGGCTACAAGCTGATCGTAATCTTCTTGAAGCTTACAGTAGAACTTCTTCATTAGAATTTCCGCCCCCACAAAGTTGGTTCCGTTGTCACTGTAGAGGTGCTGAACCATCCCTCTCCTCCCGGTGAATCTGTCCAGCGCCAGCAAAAAATGTTCCGTGGTGAGGTCTGTGAACGCTTTTAAGTGCACTGCCTTTGTTGCAAGGCAAATGAAAACGGCAATAATTCCCTTGTAGAAGCTGGTGCCTCGCAACCGTGCTGCCTTGAGATCTATAGCGCCTGTGTAGTCAACTCCCGTTGCAATGAATGGACGACTAGGGGGGTTCAATCGATGAAGCGGCAAGTCTCCCATGAGCTGAGCCGAAGCAGAGGGCTGTGCCCGGAAACACTGGACACATTTCCTCACAACTCTTCCAACTGCACGCCTTCCTGTCACTATCCAGAACCGCTGGAACCTTCCGACAAGATCGGCGACACGCTCAAAAGCTTACTTCGCGCAGATAGCCGTTTACTATCTCTTACTGCAGCCAAATCCATTGGTAACGATTTCCGCTGCACGATGCGCACTATATCCCCTAAAGCAAAGTCAAGCTCTTCAAAGGTTAGGGTGCCGATGCGCCTCTACCCCTTGCCGACAGCAATGCGCCTGAACCGCAACGCATATGCCGTGACTCGTAAAGCCCGGCTGACGACGGAAGCGGGACTGCGTGGTGAACTCGTACTTTGGCCGCCTTTGCCTCTAGTGCGGCATCATTGGTGTCGACCTGCTCGAACTCAATAGAAGGCCAGTCACTCGGACTGGGTGTAAGCCACTCAGGGCTTCGCCATCATAAGCCAAAGCCCTTCAATTCACCCGGAGACAGTCCCCTTGTCGCACAGTCCGCTGGATTCTCAGCCGTGCCCACATGCCTCCATTGCGAGGGCGAAGAATGATCCAGAATGAACGCGACCCTGTTGGCCACGAACGTCTTCCACCTAGTGATGTCTCCGTACAGCCAGTGTAAAAGGATTGTGGCATCCGTACAGTAGAACGATTTGATGGGTAGGTCGCTTAGCCACTTAGCCGAAGTAAACCATTTCACCAACTTGATGGCCAAAACTGCGCCACTCAGCTCCATTCTAGGTATAGTCAAGGGCTTTGTGGGAGTCACCCTTGACTTCGAGGCCAACAGTGAGCTATAGCATGATCCGTCCACGCACTCGAGCCTTAGGTAGATCGTGGCCGCATAAGATGTCGATGAACGCGTCAAGCTGAGCTGATACTATACATTTGTCTATGCTTGTATCGTCGATCCTCAGCAACCTGTCCCGAAACGCTCGCCACCGTTCTACGAGGGCGTCCGGAACCTTTTCGTTCCACTACAGCGCCGACTGAGTGCCATCTGCATGCACTTTCTTTGCAATGGTTTCCTCCTTTAAGATAAGCTTTCACACGATGATGACTGGTGCGATGAGACCCAGTGGATTGAACAGCCTAGCTATGCTCGATAAAATCATCCGTTTGGTGAACCTAGCTGGAATCTCAAAATTGACCTGAAATTTAAAACAGTCCTTATTCGGGAGCCAATACATCCCTTACGCCTTGATAGGATCCGTATTATCCCAGTTTAAAGGAGTCCGGCTGCACTGATGCTCCGCGGGAGTCGAGAGCAAGAGACTGGACTCGTTTCAAGACCACTTCCGCAACTCAATGCACGCGGATTTTATCGCACCCGATACTTGTGTCCGCTTATCCCTTATCTATCCCAACGTGTGACCTTCAGAAAGAATGTCAGTTACATATATTTCGCTCATCAACACCTCTTCCGCCTTGGGAAACGAACAGCGCTCGTCCTTCGTCAACTGCTGGATGACCCTGATGGCCGTGAATGGTGCAGACGCCGTACCAAAGGTTAACGTTGACAAGGCGAATACGCTGATGGACCCATCCGCCGTCCGCCATAACATCCGCTGGTATTGGGCGTCTTCCGGATGAGGGGCAGGCCCAGTCCACAACACGTCGTTTAGAAATCTTCCGTTGCTAGGCCTTGCGGAGGCGTCAAAAACGATTCTTTGTTTAAGCAACTGCGGCTCCTTCTTAAAGACCGAATTATGCGGCAGCACGCAAGAAGCCAAATGCATATCCGTAGAAGTACGCATCAGCGAACTGCTTTCACTGCCCACCGCTGGCGCTATTTGCTTGGGGGCAAAGTACTTTTCGATCTCATCGACATATTTACTCCACCGCTCGGGCTCCTCGATAGACGCCGTTCGAACTGCAAGAACCTATTCAGCGCCATCTGATGCGATCTTCCCAGAACCATAGTTGGATCGATGTAAGTTTTGAAGGGCAAACGTACCCCGTATCGGCCATCCGATCGACGAATATGTGTCTTCTGAAAGAAGGCTTGGAACCAGAGGTCCCCATCCGATGTTAAAGAACGGTCCGGAACGTCCTCCACCTCGCAGAAACGGTTGAGCAATGCCTTGGTGTCCAAGAGCACCCGATGACACCGTACCTGGGTCGCTTCCCGCAGTCCGTTCGCCAAACCAGATAGGATCCACCCAAGGTGAGTGTTCTGAGCTATAGGCTCGCCGGGCAGCCCGATCCTGGTGTCCGACAACATGATTTGCGCCAACAGGTTCACACCCAAGATGAGGTCGACTCGCTTCGATTGTGAGAAGTTCGGATCCGCCAGCGGGAGCCCTCGTATATGGTCCCAACGCTGAGGAATGAAGCTGCGACAAGGAAGACATGAAGTAACTGAATTGATGACATACTCGGAATCAACGTCTACTGAAAAGTCATGGTTAACATTACTACGGATTTCAAAATTGACAGTATACTTGCACCGACGACCGGCCCCAAGACCCATCGCAAAAATAGATGTTCGGCTGCCAGATCGCTTCAGATGCAAGGACTGTACCACGTGCTCCGAGACAATGGTTGCCTCCGATCCGTGGTCGACCAGGGCGTTTATGACAGCTTGCAGTCCGTTGACCGGGTTCCGGACGGTGCTACGAGCAGTGGGGAGAAGGACATTTCTCGAAGACAGATCCGATAAATAACATCCGTAAGATGCGCCGGGGTTCTGGTCTGTCGTTGGCTGCCTGCACTGTTGAGATACGTTCTCCCTGTCTACAGGTGCACTAGGAGTTGGCGCAACAGGCTGGACCAGATGCGGCGGTACACAGCTCGGCGACTAGCTATGAGCCAAAACTGGGAAATGCAACAATGTGTGATGACACTGCCCACAAACTTAGCAGTCTAGGGCCAAAAACGATAAGCAACGACGCATAGCGTGCTTCTGTGCACTGTGCACTCGCACTCGTTTGGTAGGGTCTGAAGGTCCTGGGCCAGCAGCGGAGTCAAACGACGAGCCTCGGTTCTCAATCGCATCCATTACAACCAGCCGATCGTTTAAAAATGAATCCAACTTTCTCTGTGGGATGGAATTGTGGAACAACTTCCCTGATTGTGCTCCCAAGCTTAGTGGGTCTCCTTGGGTAACCTCGATGCTACGTAGTGTGATAACCAGTGCTGCGATTCCCCGTCCAAGGCTTGAACGCGGCGGAATGCAGCCAGACAAATATTCACCGTGCTTAACATCGACCGTATTAACTCGCTGGAATGTTGCTGGTGCAGTCGTAAGTCCAAACGACATTACCTTCCATTGGAATAGGCCCCGTACTGGCACTGTGAACGCCGTGTATTGTTTACTATTCTGGTCCATTGGTATTTGCCAATATCTTGATTTCAAATCGATTGTGCTAATGAACCTGGCTTCCCGGAGTTGGTTCAATATAAAAACCAACCTCTGCACACGGTATGCGTCTTTTTTTGTTTTCTCGTTTAGCAGCCGGTAGTCCACCCACATTCTCCTCTCGTTTTTTTCCATACTAAGACTACCAGTGCGCTGTACGAGCTTCGCGAGGGTTCTATCAGTCCGTGGCCCAGAAGTTCATCCACTTGCCCGTGTATAATGGCTTGTTGTTTGGGGTTGCGTGGGTAATAACGTTGCTTTACTGGTTTTTCGTCCTTCATATATATAGTGTTCAGAAAGAACACACGAAAAAGTATATACATAGATAAGATGCATATGTTAGGTACTAAATCTTTGCAGCTATGTACTGCATTTGTCTATCTATAAGTACATCCCCCACTTGGGCCTACCTAAATACAAGCAACCCGAAATATGACCTCCTGCGAGCGGTCTGGGTTTGTTTAAGATACCATATGTGCTATCGGAGTAAATGTGTGCTCCCTTATCGCACTTAGAGTATTACCCACGATCGGGAACTGTCCGATGCGTGGGTCTAGAACTAAGATCAATAATGTACATTCTCATGTTAGCTATTTAAGATAGGATTTGAACGAATAAAATTTAGTTTGAAATATCAACTCAACAACGTCAGACGCTCGTTTTATTTACAGCCTCTCTCGACATTTTGGTCCTTCGACCGCTCTGCAACTTTCCCTGTGGTAAGAGGTTCAGAGTTTTTTAAACCAGCGCCTTAAAAAATATATTAAGGCTGCTAAAAATAAATATCTCTTGTGACCCCCCACCCGTGGTAAGGAACAGAGAATAAATATATAAACAAAAAGATACAAAAGAATCTTTTGTGTTTTAATAAAAAAAGCACCTTGTAGTTAGAAAAAACTAAAGGTAGCTTAAAAATTTTGTTTTTAAATCGAAAAATTCGTAAGGCGTGCTTGAGGCCATAAACATCAGCATAAAGTGCGTGAATATAATAAAAAGAAAAAATACGACGGGTATTAAGTGCCAATTAAATAAAAAAGTGAAAAAGAACAAGGCAAGGAGCCTGTGGAAAATAATAAAATAAATCGAACAAAAAAGAGTTCGTAAAGTTCAAGTGACAGGAAAGTCAGACTGGACAAATAGTGAAAAAAAAAAAAAAAAAAAAAAACATTTTTTTGAATAACAAGGCAAGGAGCCTGTTAAAGTGAACCAAAATAAGTTCAACAAAAAAGTGAAAAATAAAAAAATATATATATATATGTAAATAAAAATATATATATAAGTTAACTAAGTCAACCGGCAAAGGAATGCCGATATCGGCCGCCCGTTCCTATAACGGCGCTGGCCCGGGGCCGGGTCCATAGCCAGCAAGCACTCCCTATGTGTGGGGGGTCTATTTTTCTCTTTTCATGTTAGCATTAAGTTCAGTTCATTTCAAAGTTCAATAAAGAAGAGCCATCGCTCTATATGAATTCCGGTTTAAGGCCACGATAACGGAGGTTCTCCCAACGTACACTCAACAAGTGAAAGTACTAGGCGCACCTCTGGCCAACCCCTAAAAAAAGGAAGAACACTAGGTCGACCGGCCTGGCTCACCCCCTCCCGCTGACGACATAACAAATGTTACCAGCTATCTTCTAATTTATATACAAATCATCTTTAAAAGCCGACACCTATACCAGAAGGAAGGAAGACAGCACGGCAGCAAAGAAATCTCTACAACAACAACTACGGCGGCATCAGCAGCAGCGTCATCGTCATCAAAAAATCCAGATAAGCTAACAAAAAAAAATACCTACCTATATAAATATATTTAACAAAAATACTTATACCTAAGTTTTAAAAATATTTATACAAAAATGATGTCCGACAAAACTTTAGAATTGCTAAAGGCGCAGTCCGGAATAATTTTGGAAATTAGGCAGGTAGAAGCTAAAATAGGGTTAACCGAACAAGACAGAGTAAGGGTAGAAGAGCTTCAGAAACTCTTCATAGCAAAACACACGCTACTCTTGAAGATCGGCGTTGTCGATCATGAGTACTTTAACTCGAAACAATATGACGTAATAATGATGGTCCTGGCTCAAATCAAATTAAGAGTTGATAAAGAGTCTTTAAAGGATAAGCCAGAGGGACAGATTGTACCCACAGCCCCAGTTTCCAAGTCGAAAAACGCGGAAACAAATATTGAGTTGCCAGGGACTTCCAACGCTTCCGGAATAGCACAGACTTTCCGAATCCAGGTAGGCAAATTAAGAAACTATTTGGATGAGACGACGTCTCTCATCGACAGCAGTCAGGATTTGCTGACAATAAGAAAGAACAAAATTGAGTTTTTGTTCAGAAGAGTACAAAATTTAATAGAACAGGTAAACGCTTGTTTCGAAAGTTCGGTATTCGAAGAGGAGATTAGCGATATTGAGTTTGATACGCAAAACATATTAGCTGCGATAAACAATAAACTCAGCAGAGTTAATACGCAGGCTGATGTGTCAATGGTGGTAAAGGCGGAGGAATTACCAACCCTGCCTAAAATTCAGATTCCAACATTTTTTGGTGATTCCAAAGAATGGGATCTGTTTTATGAGCTGTTTACAGAGCTCATCCACACAAGAGAGGATTTAAGCCCCTCTCTAAAATTTAATTATCTCAAGTCGGCATTAAAAGGAGAAGCCAGAAATGTGGTGACTCACTTATTGCTAGGCGCAGGAGAAAATTACGAAGCCACTTGGGAGTTTTTGACCAAGCGGTATGAGAATAAAAGAAAAATATTCTCAGAGCACATGAATAGGCTTATGGATATGCCAAATTTAAATTTGGATTCAGATAAGCAAATTAAAAAGTTTATTGACACGATTAATGAGTCAATATATATAATAAAATTAAAGGCACACTTATCCGAAGAAGTCGATGCCGTTTTTGCGCACATAATTCTGCGAAAATTTAATAAAGAATATTTAAATTTGTATGAAAGTCATGTCAAAAAGACAAAAGATATTCAGGCACTTTCTGATGTAATGGAATTTGTAGAACAAAGACTGAATTCTATATCATCATTTTCACAGGGAGATAAACCTGTAAAGAAAGTGGTCATGACAATGCCCAATAATAATAGCGAAAATTGTGCGTGTTGTAAGTTACCAGGCCATTATTTGGTCCAGTGCTATAAATTTAAAAGAATGAACCCAGCAGAAAGAACTGACTGGGCGAAAAAAAATCATATTTGCACAAGATGTCTGAAGCATCAAAGTTTTAAAAGATGCACAAGTGAGCAGCTGTGTGGGACTTGTAGCAAACCTCACCATACGTTGCTTCATTTTAAGATTCCAGAAAAAGTAAACACGTGTAGAACAACGGAGCAAGCGTTGTTAGCTACAGCCCTGATTGAAGTAAAATCAGGCAATGGTGGCTTCGAAAAATTAAGAGCTTTGATAGACAGTGGGTCTCAAAGTACTATAATTTCAGAGGAGGCTTCACAAATTCTCAAATTACCGAGAATTAAAAAATTCACAGAAATAAGTGGAGTTTCCACAAGTAAAACATGCATTTCAAGGCATAGAGTAAAGTTGCAAATCAAAACCCAAAAAAGGGATAAAAATAATTTGACGGTGGATGCGATCATCCTACCGAAATTAATGAAGGCACTACCAGGTCAAATGATTAACGTTGACACGGCTAAATGGGATAAATACCGGCTTGCGGATCCCGAATTCAACAAGCCAGGT